ACGCGAGAATTTGGCGCGCCTAAATTTATTTATTTCTGAGCCTTATTTACTGTTTGAGAAGGCATTTGCTAGAATAAATATACAATTATTTGTTTGTATTCAATGCAGATATTAAATCTATCTTTTTTTTATTTAATCAATTAATTTGATTAAATCTAAAAAAGAAAATGTCTGAACAACTAACGCTATATTAATTCTTACCAAGAAACGGTGTACCGCAAACCGCCGCGCTCTGGGAGATCGTTAATATGACGTGATACGAAATGAAATCGCGTTTGCGCGACGTTTAACGCTCGAGAAACGAGGCTAGTAGGAGTTGAGAACGAATATCAACGATTCAAACAGGGTCACAATGGGCAATTACGCGGAGGCGCGAGAGTTCAACTCCAGCGTGCCCCTTTAATTGCACATTTTCTGTGTTTGAACGCGCGTTTAGAGTGCTGTGCCGTTTATGGATCGCGAAGCGAGCGTTCTTTCGCCTCGTAGCTGCGAATATTTCAATGAAAATGTTAGATAGCTCGCTGTCGGATGTGAAATCTGGGTCAGCCGGCTATGATATATTAACGGTGTTGCAGAATATGATAATATAATACGCGTACGCGATCGCTCGTCTATGAAATCACTATAAACGCGACGCAAAAAATTTAACTAGGCGCTAAGGTTTTTGATATTACCCGACATTTACCTGCAGCCTTCTCGACTAATGAGCACTCGGCATTCGGAAACTGTAATTGAATCGGAGTGCGCGCGGCTGCGAACAAAGTTTTCAATTTCGTCACTTCTGAATTTCAAATTGAAACAGATCCTTGAAATCCTGATATTATCCTCAAGACCCGCGTGAATATGAGGAACGCGTGCAATTTACAATTGCACCGGGGAATTTGACATCTGGAAATTGAAAACGACTGCTAGAAGAATCGACGTTCAATTTTTGAACTTCTGAATTTTCAATTTTCGAATTTTAACTTTTCTTTTTTTTATGCGTTCAACGTCGCATTCAGTTACTTTGGTTATTGGCGATGATCTATTTCAGATAACTATACATTAAATTTTATCGTATAGCGTAGATTGTTTTAGGAAAAATTCTAAGCATTTGCTTGTCACTTCTAAAATTATTTCAGCTTTGATTATAATGTAATATAATAGTATAATAATATAATATAAAATAATATATACGTATATATTATATATATATATATAATATTATAGATATAATATATAATATTATATATATATACATATATATGAGAGATAATATTATAGATATAATATATATTATAATATTATAGATATAATATAATATTATATTGCAGTGTTGATGCAATTTTGGCTTTAATGCGAGATTCT